ATTAAAATTTTTAATAAAATTTAATTTAAATTATTTTTTATTGTTAAACTTTTATTATTTTTTATTAAGTTTTTCATATAAAATAGAAATGTTGATTAATCATAGTTGGTTTTTCATTTTTACCCGCTTAATTAATTAGCTATCATTTAACAACATTTCTCTCATATTCTTGTTATTTCTTTCTTCATTGTTATAAATAATTAATGTGTAGGTAAGAACAACATAAAATTTAAATTGGTAAAAAAATTTGACTTAAAAGTAAAACGTAAAATTTTAATCATTCTTTCAGTTTAATTTTCATAAGCAAACAAAAATAGTAAAAATAGTATATGTCGTAACGTTTAGATCCGGGGATCTATCGTTAGACATTGACTTTTAGGGAGTCGCCACCAATCTTTTTTTATCTAGGTGCGATTGGCCACCTAAGGAATCTGTCCTTTTAGGGAACACCTAAGTTTAAGGGTCCCTAAAAGAATAGGTTCAGGTCTGCTAACCAGAACAGGGTTCGGGAGTTCGGTTACGTGTGAGGAAGGTTATAGCACCCTCACAACGCCCATCAAAAGATGGTACCAGCTTAAATTTGTGTTATCCAAAAGCCTTAAAATTTTACCAAATAATTAATTATTGGAAATTATTCTCAATTGACTCTAATACTTTTAGCAGAAAATTGAGAAAATTCCCTCACCTCAAGAGTATGCAAGAAAAACTACTGTTTCACTTGCAGAGGCTCCGTCGTCGGATTATTTAAAGAAAAAAACAAAATCAAAATTAAGATAGAAAGGAAGGAAAGAATGATTTTTTTTTGTAGGGAAGATTGATACTTTCAACTTTTCCCTAAAAATATTTTTTTTTGAAATTTATTTCTGAGGAAAATTGATACTTTCAACTCTTCCCCAAAAATATTTTTTGGAAATTTATTTCTAAGGAAAATTGATACTTTCAACTTTTCCCTAAAAATATTTTTTTTTTTGGAAATTTATTTTTCTTTTAAGAAAAATTGATACTTTCAACTTTTCCCTAAAAATATTTTTTTTGGAATTTTTTTTTATTTAAAGAAAATAAAATAATAAAAAATAAATAAAAAGAATATTACATAAACCTAATCTAATAAATAAAAAATAAAATAAACAAATAAACAAAGAAAGAAAAAAGAAAAAAAAAAAAACCTGTAGCGGCTCAGATCACGGCTCGGCTCGGCTCGGCTCAAGGAAGAGAAACGGCTCAAGGAAGAGAAATGGCCGGATTCTGGAAATTTTCCAAAAATTTCCAGAAAAATTTTTCGCCAAAAATTTCTAAAAAATTTTTTCTCACTCCCAGACCACTCCTAAACTTTTCCTAGCTTCCTATACGCCTCCTTTTCTCTCAAATCAGTAGCTTTGCTTATTGTTTTCTGTCTGTTTCATTCTGTTCCAGGAGGTGCTTTATATAGGGATTGATCAGGAGTTTCTGATCAATCCCAATTCCCCTTTGGACGGGAATTCAATCTTTGAATCCAGTCTGGACTCTTCTGATTGAATTCCCACTCTCAGTGGGATTCTTCAACTTTCAATCCTAGCCCTCCAAAATAAAAATCAAAATAAAAAAAACTAGATAATTAGAGAAGATAAATCAACAGATATTATAGGATAAATAAAATAATAATAAAAAAATATATCAGATATATAATTAGATAAGTAAAAATACAAAAATGAATAAAATAAAAAAGATAAAATATATATATATATACATATTAGTAATAATACATAAATAATAAAATACACATAAATATTAACAAAAAATAAATAAATAAATATATACATATATTAATACATAATAATAATAATAATAATAAATAATACAATACATAAAATACAAAAGAAGAAGAAAAAAAAATACAAGATAAAATTGAATTGGGCTTACCCATTTGGGCCAGGCCCAATTGATCTGGGTCCGGACCCAATTGGGTGTCTACAGCTGCCCCTCTTTGTACATTTTCTGTGAAACAAAAATTGCGCAAAGACGTAGACACCCAATCAAGACTCAACTCAACATTTTTTGGTTTTTTTTTTGTTTTTTTGTTTTTTGTTTTTTTGTTTTTTTTTTGTTTTTTTGTTTTTTTACCAAAGCTCCTCTAAACAGAGGCACCACAACTTTTGAAAAGTAAATTGCTCCTCTAAACAGAGGCAACGAACTTGGAAAAGTAAATTGCTCCTCTAAACAGAGGCACCACGACTTTGAAAAAGTAAATTGCTCCTCTAAACAGAGGCAACGAAACTTTGAAAGTAAATTGCTCCTCTAAATAGAGGCACCACGACTTTGGAAAGTAAATTGCTCCTCTAAACAGAGGCAACGAACTTTGAAAAGTAAATTGCTCCTCTAAACAGAGGTACCACGACTTTGGAAAATAAATTGCTCCTCTAAACAGAGGCAACGAACTTTGAAAAGTAAATTGCTCCTCTAAACAGAGGTACCACGACTTTTGAAAAGTAAATTGCTCCTTTAAACAGAGGTACCACGACTTTGGGAAAAGTAAATTGCTCCTCTAAACAGAGGCACCACGACTTTGGAAAAGTAAATTGCTCCTCTAAACAGAGGCAACGAACTTTGAAAAAGTAAATACTCCTAGACAATCATGTCCGAAGGAGTTGAAAGTTGTGTTTGAAGGGATTTCAGGAGATTATGCCCAAAGGTCTTATAAATCAACCCTGATACCAAGAGACATCCTATTTCAAGGATTAGGAACTTACCTGACAAGTTTCTTCTCAAACTTGCAAAGTCTTTTCATATCTGTCTTTTTCATGTGGGATGTTGGAACACCCCTGCTTCTTGAATTTGTACACTATACTTTCCTGAAAGTAGTGTATGCTATGCAAATGCATATGAATTTCAATGCATGCTATGCAAATATTGGCCAATTAATTCCTGTTCAAATTATGGTACTCAAGTTTCTCAAGCTCTTTTCTTGGGCATCAAGCCCTTTGATTCCTCAAAGATCCAATGACACTGTTCTTCTAAGATCGAACCAGTGTGACTCTTAATTATTTCTTCCATTCATATTCTTCCTGTAACAAAAATCTCTTCTCAAATTCAATGTCCTAATCAGGAGCTGAACATCTCGATTCTGCCTTTATCACTCTTGATTTATTCAATGTAATGTAAAAATCTTTTTATGTTGTTATTCATTCATCAATCATTATTTTCAACTCAAAAAGGGAGAATGCATTTGCACATTCCCTCCATGATGGGGTATTAAGAAGAAAAGGATATGAATGGTAGGGAAACAGTCATCAGAAAAAAGAGCAAAGAATGAAATAAAATGTTTCTTTATTAGCAAATGTCGGTAAACTTTGGCCAAGAAAGAATTACA